ACAATCGCACTGCGATTTCACTCATCTTTGTCGATGACATGTGAATCTGAGCTTACAGAAACCGAGTGCATGGCATAGCCGATTGGCGTAGAATAGGAGTCATGCTCGGATTTGCAGAAGTGGCTCAGATTAGCATGGGTTGCATAGATTACTTTCAGTTGCTCAGATTAGTTGCGTTAGGCGCTAGCTGGGCACAGTGTGACACGTGTCACGTGAAATCGCGCACAATTGGTAGAAGCAGTAGCACCCATAGAATGTTGTCTTTGCGCTGAATTTGGCCTGATCGAAATTATAAATTCGGCAAAATGCTGCCGCCGAGCTGCTTCAGTTCGTGGAATATACCATACCATGAGACAGTGAATTTAAGCATCCACATCCTAACAAGTCTCGTGTGAGAACCGAAGTAAGCAACTCGAGCATCTCGAGTCGAGATCACCCACAGGAGGAGAAAGAGTTGTAACCTCACCGCATCAATCAACTATCGTAAACATTCGATGAGTATCTTATCACTGATAAGCTATCAGTCCATCTCAAAAATTCTGACCAGATGCTATTTGGTTACCAGAATATCTGATCATCTTAATCAAGGCCACTGGTTTTTGAATCTTTGTGCTGAAGTCTTCAGCACAGGTTTGCGCGGCGAGCAATGCACGCGCGTCATGGCGCGCACATTCCGATCCGAACAATTTCACTGGCGTATGCCGGCTGACGTAATAGAGATCCCAAGGGTCTAGAATGCAGCCCATGTTCATATCTCGATACCTGGCGATAAAGGCTGTTAGGTACTGTGATGGCTGCCGTACAGCTGGTATATGCTTTTCAGAGTGTGATTACCTCTTCGTACCCTGTCACCTCATATGCTCACCTACCCTCTCATCATCTGGACTGCCTTACAAGGTGTCATGGGAGTAACTTTGAAGCTACCTATCTCCCGTATGTTCATGCCCAATGGTGATGTTAATCTATTTCAGTCTCTGCATGCTGACGGTCAACTTCAAAATCCCATCGTGGATACTGGAGCACCCTATGTATTTTTTGTCTGGAAGAATTGGTACGATCAGCAAACTCATAGGAGTGCTTGTAAGACCCTCACAGCCCATTGCTACTCCTGTGCTAGGAGCTGCTCGCCCCAGCACACGCACACTATATACTTCGGCGGTGGAGTGGATGTCACTATTTTCCAATACGCTGGGAAACTTTCTCTTGGTACAACATCATACGAAGGTATGCGCTTTGGTCTGGTCTGTGGTAGGCATCCCCCTCCACCCCAAAGTCAGGCTCACGCTTCATTTGGCCTGGGTAAGATCAGCGAAGCGGGATACCCCTCTATCATGGATCAGCTCTTACAGAGGAGGGTGATCGCGCAGAAAGTATTTGCTCTCTACCTATACCCGGATCGGAGTGGGACATCTGGATTTGACGGATCCCTACTTTTGGGTGGTGGCAGTCCCCGGGTGTACAAGGGTCCTTTACGTTTTGTACCAATAGTCTCATCTGATAGTTGGGCAGTAATGCTGAGCTCTGTCCAGGTTGGTAGTGGGCATACGACTATTGGTATTAAACAACACCTACTCCTAGATACTGGAAGTAACAACATGTAT